GTCTTTTGACTTCAACAAGACCAATGCTTCTCCCATTACAGCAACACTGCTAAGCAGACAACTAATTGAGTGTTCCTAAAGTAAAAATCTGGAAAACATCCCTGTTTCTTCTTTTCTATTGTTCACCTAGTTTTTACCATGGACGTGGTCATAAGATGCTGTGTTCTTTTGTTTATGTGTCTTTGCCAGGAATGAAACAATTCTTTAAGAATGAAAACCCCTCTTCAAGCTTTCAAGATTCTTTGAGAACAAACCTGGGCAGATAAGTCCTTTTACCCTTTAGGGGTATGGACTCACCAAAACCAAAAGAACTACAGTAGGATTTCTCCAAAATTTCCTGTCATCATTTGCCATTAACTAAAGATAACTGTGGGTTTGGCTTTTTGTTTTTGCTTTTGTTTTTTATTCTCTCTCTCTCTCTTTTTTTTTTTTTTGGTGAGGCAGTCGGAGTTAAGTGACTTGTCCAAGGTCACACACCTAGTGTGTGCTTTTTTGTTTTTTAAGTAAGTTCTTATCAAAACCACACATAGACACTAAGAAGTAGGGGCACAACTGTCTCTAACAAAAAGCAACATTATTGAAGATTAGACCAGAACACCAACCTTCAGGGCCCCCAATATCCCACAAACGAGCAGGAACTTCACAGGCAAGGGCCATCTTAGTCTCCTTGGGTGAGAGAGAGGTTTAATAATCTCCATTTACTAGAGGCTGAGATTGGAATAAGACTTTTTTTTTTAAAGGAAGGGGATTTGAAGCCATTGATTTCCAGGTCCATTCTTCATATCTGACCATCAACAGGTGTTATTCACGAGGACAATCCCCAAAATCTGAAATAGTTTTAGAACGAAATTTGTTAGGTTATTTGGGAGAGAGAGAGAGAGAGAGAGAGAGAGAGATGGAAAAAAGAGATGGCTCCCTTTTCAGTTCTTTATGAGGTTGTATTATATAGAGTTTAGAAAAGGGCATAAGGGCATTTGCCTGACTGACTCAAGTAAGCAATAGATAGTTTCCAAAAGAAGGGAGGTTTGAGATATATATCAGCAAGTAAGTCAATCTCTTTTGGGAAACACAAAACACAAACTTTGGGTGGGCCCAAAACAAGTACTGGCTGGGATCTAAGCATTCCTTAAAACCATCTGCTTTCCCTAGAGCATTTCTGGATCAAGCCTGACCTCTATAGTAAGTAAGCTTTTTGGATTAGACAGTTTTTTAGACGCATGAAGCTAGGTTCAAATAATACTAATAAATGATAAATAATAATCCACACAGACATTCCGAGGATTGCAAACACTCCCTCCACCCCTTACCCACCTACCCGATGGTCTTATCTTAGCAGTCTCAGACAAGTATGTTGCAAGATTGACATGAGTAGCAACCATAGTGTCTTTGGGGGCTGGACTTTCCAAGGCAAAGCATAATCTCTTAGTAGAGAGTCACGGGTGGCAGGGGGTGACGAGGCAGTGAAAGGCAGCGGAGCATTTGGAAGATCGCATAAAGCAGAATGGGCCACAGAAATGTAGGGATCTCTGGATGTTCACAGTAAGGGTTCAAGTTGTGGAGATATCCGTACAGCACTTAGCGCAATGCCCAGCACATAGTATGCACTTAATAAATGCTTCTTTTCCAACAAACTGAGTCAGCCCTATTTAATCTCATGTTGTATGTATGGCATTATAACTGCTAGAGATACTGTGCATTTGCAGTGGTTTTGACTTTTCAATGTAGAAATCACAGAGACCTTAGATAGAGTCATCTATTACCCATTTCATATTCAAAATAGCCTTATGAGCAGACAAGGCAATTTTCCACCCATGTGCAGAGAACTAGTAACAGGCCTAAGCTAATAGAGACATGAATCTAGAGCCCAGGTCCCCCGAGTCCCTACCCCCATTCCCCTGGTCTACACCATTAAGTTTTATAGCTCTATCACCAAAAAGCATGAGTTTCTTTGCGTTTCTCTTTGGCTTCCCTCTCTAAGTCCAAACTGAACATGTCTGTTCAAGTTTGCCCTCCAGCTCAACTCTACAACAAAGTTATAAACGTATAAAGATGAGGCTTAGAACTGAAAGATCAATAGAACCTGACATAGGGCCTGCTCACCAACCGATTTATTAATGGCTGATCGGAAATTCAGTAAATAAATCTTTCTTGGCCTTCATATTTGTTCTGAAAATTTCATTAAAAATTCAGAGGACTTCTAATTAAATACAAATTGTTATCCTGACTTTTAAAAAAATCTGTATCAGATCTGTAGCCCCACTCTTTTCTAACCATATCTTTTGGGAAAACTGGAAGAACACTAGAAACAAAAATTATATAGGCTACGTGAACAACCAAATTACTTTTAATTTGGGCTCGTTTGGCATTCACTTGGCTTGGGGACACAAATGGTTTGCCCTGATCCATGTATCATTTAAAGTAATTTATTTTTACTCACTTTTCAAATGACTACAGTTCATAAAAATACTAATAACTCATAAAAGTTTACAAAGCTCTTGCATCTATTCAGTCGTCAACAAACATTTATTTAGTACCTACTGTGTGCAAAATTGAAGTAACTAAAGTAGGAGATAGAACACTGGCTTTGGAGTTAGAATGATCCTAATTCAGGTCTATACTAGCCCTGACTCATATTGGCTGTGTGACTATGGGGAAGTCACTTAATATCTCAGTGCCGCAGTTACCTCTGTAAGGCCACAAATGGCAGATGAGTTAGAACTGGAAAGACTTGTCATATGTTAGCTATAATAACTGGTAACAACAATAATAATAATAATAATAAATAACTGACATTTTAATAGTGCCTACTACGTGCCAGGCACATAGTAGCAAGTGCTATGCACTTTACAGTTGTTATCTGATCTTTATAACAACACATGGAGATAGGTGTTATTATTATCCCCATTTTACAGATGAGGACACGGAGGCAAATGGCTAAATATTTACCCTAGGTCACATAGCTAGGAAGTATCTGAGGCCCAATTTGAACTCAGGTCTTCCTGACTCCAGGTCTGGCACTCTATCCACTGCATCATGTAAGTTCCAGGTTTATAAAGAGCTTTCCATATGTTAATTGGCTGAGATAGCACATTATGTCCTAAAGTAGAAATTATTGGAGATTAGTGGTTACTCTGTATTTTAGCATGACTCCATATTATCTTAAAGGCACCTCATGGGGCAGCCATCTGTAGTATCCAAACTGAGGTGTGTTTGTCAGGGCCCATGTCAAGTTGACTCACTAGTGTCTTGGGATATGGAGTCCTTGGAACTGCTTGATAATTGTTTAATAATTCTGTGGAACAGGACCAGCCCTTGACAAAGATTCTAATTCGAGTTTGTCTTTGGTGCCTCTCAATGCCTCATTCAACCCCTTTCCCCCTCCTTAATGTTCTTCCTTCCTTCTGTCTCAAGTACCCAATGCTCTGTCATCTCTTCTGCAAAATCCCTATCAGACCTTGTTTCTGTTCCTTTCCTTCCTTCTCTCTAAGGTGATGAATCTATACCAACTTAAAGTGTTGCCCCTCCAATGGGTCTTTTTTAACAGTTATCAAAGCCAAGGGTAAAGCAGATTGAAATCTTGATTGTGGAATTTCAGGGACCAACCAAAGAATGTGAGATTGAGGCAGGACTTTTGTGGCACCCCTGAAATCATACCATATAGAAGATTATTTACTCAGTGTAAAGCCATTTTGATAAGGAGCAAAGAAATATTTACTCTTCTGGTAATATCCAACTTCTCTGAACCATGAAATAGACTGCATGAAAATCCTGGATGTGTGCTGTATAGTCCTATAGTTGAGTATTGATGCAATGCTGTGGATCTAAGGATGATACACACACACACACACACACACACACACACACGCACATATATTTGTGTGTGTGTGTGTATGTATGTGTGTGTGTAAACAGGTGCCATGAAGGGCTCTAAGTATTAGAGATATGTACTTTAGGGAGAAGAAATCAATTTGAGACATTTACTAAGTACTATATACAGGACAGAGTAGATAGAGACCTAGATATAGTGTCAGGACAGACCACATGGATTCAGATCCTGCTTCTGACAATGACTAGCTGTATGACCCTGAACAAGTCATTTAATTTTTGTGTAACACAGCTAACTTTCTGGTACTACTCTCCTAAGTCATATAGAGCACCCATAAGTCTGCTTTAGTGGAATGAAGGTTCATACACTGGGATTTCCCTCCTGCTGATAAAATCACAGATCCTTTGCATTAGATGTGTCTCTGGTTCAACCCACTCCCCAGTGATAATGAGGGAGCTCGCTATTTCATGAAGCAGCCAATTCCATTTTTGAACAGCTCTAATGGTTAGACAGTTCTTCCTTGTGTTGAATTATAGCTTGCTTTTTGTTACTCCTATACATTTGTTCTATTTCTACCGTCTAGAACAACACAGAATAAGTCCAATTTATCTTCCACACCATAACCTTTTGGAGACAGCTATCATCAACCCTGCCACACCCCCCCAAAAAAGCCTTCTCTAAACATAATGTCCTCACTCCCTTCAGTAGCATCATTATACCAAAAGCTTCATCAGCTGTTATTCTCAGGAAATGCGTGGTTACTGTAAGTCCACATTACTGGAAATGGATAGCTATACCTTCTTTTACCTTTGTGATGCCCTTTTTTAAAGAGACACATGAAGCAGTCTAGAGTTTGAAGGATTCAAAATAAATGCCCATTCTTCCTAAGGGGAGCAACTATGCCAACAGGCTGCTGTTGGATATTTTATGTGTTTCTCTACAATCTGTTCTTTGGTGCTTTCTATAAGCTATGCCAAGGCAAGGTGAAAATGTTCCTGATACAAATATCACCCATGTTTGACTGCGCCTCTGTTAAAAAAAAAATGATGTCAGATACCACAAGTTTCTAGTGGCCAATTTATTAAAAGATCTCAGACAATGCAACAAAATGCCTGAGTAAAAAATTGTAAAGTTATTCTTTTTGAGAAGTTTCTTTTTCCTTTCTCTCCACTAGATATAGCGAATGGTACCAGTTCAGGGGGGTACCGCCCACCTCCCCGAACAAGAGAAGTCATCATCAATGGCCAGACGGTGAAACTGAAATATTGTTTCACCTGCAAGATTTTTCGTCCTCCTCGTGCCTCTCATTGCAGCCTTTGTGATAACTGCGTAGGTGAGTAGAAAGGGAAAGTCGTGTGTGTGTGTGTGTGTGTGTGTGTGTGTGTGTGTGTGTGTGTTCAGTCTGTAGAATGCTTATGTTCAGGTATTTGTCAAAAGGACAGCTGTTTTCCCGAGAATGGACTCTGCACTAAAAGGAGCTAGCTATAGCCACTTCTCATAGGTACTTCAAGAGTGTAAAACCCAAATGGAATTTAGGCTTTGGACAAAGGTAGCCTCTTGTCATTGATCCCAATTCCCTAAACCTGAGGTTCTTAGGCTTTTTACTTAGTCATCACTCTCTCTTTGCTTTCCTTTCTCTTTCTCAATCCCTTCCTCCCTCCTCCCTGCCTCTCTCTCCCCTTCCTCTCTTATCTCTCTCCCTTTTCTTCTTCTTCACCTTCTCCTCCTTCTCCTTCCTCTTCCTCTCTCTCTCTCTCTCTCTCTCTCTCTCTCTCTCTCTCTCTCTCTCTCTCTCTCTCTCTCTCTGTCTATATACACACATACACACACACCCCCCCCCACACACACACACCTTTCCCCTCTCCACCCCGCCCCCCACTTGGTCTACCTTGCAGTATAGTTGATGTCCAGGTGTATCCCACAAGAGAGAGTGAATGTCCCTTTTTGGATTTATCTCTCCAAGTGGGAAGGGGACTATAGAGGACAGGGAAGCTGACAGTAGCAGCCATAGGAGGAGCAAGAGGCAGGGTTGTTTTTTGCCTTAAGATTCTGTGAACAGCTAAGGCTGGAGACCTGATACTGCCGGTAGGTAACTCAGTTGTAGGTTCACACAATCATAAATTTAGAACTAGAAGGGACTTAAGACAGAGGCTGTCTTTTCCAACCCCCTCATTGTATAAATGGTGGAAACAGTCTCTGAGAGATTAAGAGATTTGGCTAAGGGGCCGCACAGCTTGCAAGTGTCCGAGGCGAGACCACCTCAGGTCTTCCTGACTGTCTCCATTATGCCACAGTCCTTTTGTCCTTTAAATCCTAGGGAACCGCTGGGGCAGGGACAGAGGGTTATGGAATGGATTGTGGGCCATGTAACGTTACATATAGGTCTTTATATTTAGAAGCCCCAGTTTTGATGCTGGCTTGGAAGTTTGTCCAGAGGAAGAAATATTGACAAAGGGGAGAGATCCCTTACACATCCTCACCACAGAATAGGGAGCCAAGTAAGGAAAATATGGAAACATAACAATCTTGGTTTGGAGACCTCTTGGTCCTATTAATAGGTACATGAAATCATAGAGCTAGAAAGGACTCAAGCAGCAATCTAATCCATCCCTTCATTTTAAAGATAAGGAAACTGAGGGGCAGCTAGATGGCGCAATGGATAGAGCACTGGATTCAGGAGGACCTGAGTTCAAATCCAGCCTCAGACACATAACACTAGCTGTGTGATCCTGGGCAAGTCACTTAACCCCATTGCCTAACCAAAAAAAAATAAAGATCAGGAAACTGAGGCTGAGGGAGACTGAGTGATTTGTGCCATGTCACACAGGGCTCTCTGACTCTAGGCTCTGTTCTCTTTTGTTATATCTTTTTTTTTTCCTGGCATATTCTGCATCTCATGGAGTTAGCCAGTGTGCTCTGTGCGTTACTTTATTTTTTTTCCAGTTTGAGATGTCTTTTTTAAGTTTTGAGTTTCAAATTCTTTGCCTTCTTCTCTCCCCTCCTCCTTGAGACAGTAAGCAATCTGATATAGGTTATACATGTGCCTCTTTCATTGTATCTTTCTGACTTCTGACATTTACATAACCCCAAATTCTCCAGTTATGTATTATAGTCCTTTTGAAGTCCTCCTGTAAAAGTGAGCTGAAGATTACAGCTGATGACCCCTGAAGTCCCCTGCATCCTTAGAGAGTTGTGATTCTGTTCATTCACAGACCACACACTGTTCCCCAAACTTACAGACAACTTCCTTTTATTGGGCTAGGTAGAATTCATTAACATCAGGCAGCATCAGAAGTTAGGCTGGGCTTAGGTCCTGGCTAGCATTCATGAGACACAGGCAGAAGAAAAGGAGAGAAAGGGAACGTAAGAACATAACATAAGAATTATTACACTGGATGAGACCCACAATCCCTCCATCCATTCATGTATTCTGTCTCTGACAGAGACAACCGGGAAATTTTGTTGGAGATGTGATTGTGCTGTTTTCCATGAAATGAACCTCAGGGTCATCAACTCACCCCAAAGCATCACTACTAATTCAGCCTTTAATAATAAAATTATGAATCTGTCATTGGTTAATTTTTCAAAACCCTATTTCTGTTGCCACTCAGTACGATAACAAGTTCCATAATTTTAGTGCTTGCTGTTCAAAGTAGTTCTTTTTTTTCTTTGTCCTCATTTACTTCATCCTATTTCTAGTATACTGTGATTTGTCATGAAGTGCAAGTTTGTCCTTTCTGTGCCCTTCACAGTTTTATAGACTCTGATCATAACAGATCTTAGCTTTCATCTCTCCAGATGAAAGATTCCTAATCTTTTTGTCTATTCTCATTGGGCACCCCGCTGTGTTCCCTTGATCATTTTACCCTGCTATGAAACTTTCCAGATCAGTTAGGTCTTTCTAGAGGTCTGACAACAAGGATTCTATAGAGTTCTGGTTCTCTAAACCTCTTGGAAGATATTTTTTGAGTTGAATTATGAAAATGTTTAATTGATATTTAACCCATAAAGACAGCATCACAGCTATAGTTTAATAGACAAGTGAATTATTTTCCCTCTTTAGTTTCTAATACCCTTCCTGATAATTCCTACCATTCTGCTAGTCCCATTTGACTGAAGGAACCCACTGGGGCAGTGTCAACAGGGAACGTTCCATAATGACTCCCAAGGCCCTTTGCTAAATGTTCATTAACCTTCCTCCTATAGGTTTAATTTTGGATTATTTTCTACCAAAATGAATGCAATCCCTAAACAAATTGCTCACTTTGAAGCTCAGCTGCCATTTTTATAGATAACTCTGTTTTTATAGATAATATTCCTTTTGTAGAGTTCCCTGAAATTTATCATAGTTGGCTTGGCATTTTGGAAGCTATAAGATTGTGATGTCATTTGCAAACCTGAAGTACTCACTGTGTCTTCCTCTTACACATTATTTATGAAAATTTTGAATCTGACTCATCTTTATTCTTATCTCTGAGACCCCAACATTTACCCTTTCCCATACAGAGAATTGCTTGTTTTACCCTATCATTTATTTTTTGTCTCTAAGCTAGTTTCCTTTCTATGGTAAAATATTCTTTGCCATCCCACAGTGATTCCGTTTTTTAAATAATTTTTGGAGTAGAATATTAGCAAAGGCTTTTTTTCCTGCATAAATTATTTGTATTTGTTCCCTCTTGTCTGTATTTTCCTATGTTTATCCTATTAGTTCCTGATCAAAATATTATTTCCTCTTTCCCCATTGATTTTCATTAGATAAAATTTCAATGATACTATCGTTTTTTCTTTTTGTTTTAGCTTGTCTGCTAGTAGTAATATTCACCAATATTTAGGTCTAAGTATAGCCTCTGAACCCCTTTTTCTAAATGAGAATAACATTGGCAATCTACTTGTCCTTCAAGATGATGGCTAAGATAATGCACACAAAGAGTTGTGGCTTCCAGATCTCTAGAAAGACTTCTTTTTTTTTATTGTCTTGTACTAATGTTTAATTGGTACCCAGAAAAATGGCATCACATATTGTGCTTTTATACAGAAGGGAATTATGGTGTCTCAGATAACATGCACAAAGGAAAAAAGAAAGTAAGAAGAGAAAGAGAGTGAAGGAGGAGGAAGAGGAAGGAGAAAATAAATGAGTACATGTGGCTAGGAATAATGGAATGATATCAGCAATTACATCAGGGACCACTGAGAGCTATAGGCTGCCTAACCCTAGAACTAAATTATACTCCATGGAGAAGATATGATGTTGGCTTTAAAATAAGACACACACACATAAAACTATCTCCCACTACCCTCTCAAAAAAGAACACAGAGATTCAAACCTGTTTCATTTTGGTTTTCCAGCTCATTAGACTAAATTTGGGAATTAGCATGACTCATTAGCACACTAGTGATCTGGACCTTTTGCATTCAACAAAACAACATGGAAAGCAGATGTTGCCAACCAAGAAGTGTAATTGCAGAGTTTGCTATAGTTATATTTTTAGAGAGAAAGCATTTATTGAAAGAATTCTACTTTTGCTGCAAGATAAAATCGGAGTAGAACACTGGAAGCCAAGAATGGAAATTGCAGCATCTTTTCCTCCTATAATGAACTGGTAGATGGTTCCTTGGTACAATATATGGATGTCACTTTTACATCATGAGGAAGCAAAAAAAAAAAAGCAGCATTGTTAGGAATACATTTTGATTCATTTAATAGAATTGAATCCAATGTAAGATTATATGGGCTTAGCATGTTTAATTGGAGTTTTTTAGGTAATCAAAACCTATTTAAAGACTAAATCAATCTTTTACCCATCAGTAACAGGAGAACTGCAGTCACAAATAATGTGAGACCTCTTCTATGCTGGATGACTTTTTTTTTCTGAATGACTTTTAAACTAGCAATAAGCCCAACACTGCTTTACCTGGATTGTGGTGGGATCTGAATTACTATCAATAGAAAGCAGCACTGGTAACATTAAATTGAATTGGGCTACTGTATTTTTTTCCTTTTATATCAGAAGATTTGACATATTTAATGTAGAATATTTTGGGTTTTTTCAGTCAGATAATATTTGAAGCTGTAATTTTTTAAATAAACAACTGGGGCTGTGGTTCCAGAAATTCTTCATTAAGCTCTAATTTTCATCGAGTAGCCAAAGAATAACAAGAACAGCAACAATGATAGCATTTTACATACCATTTTAAAGTCTGCTAAGTTTTTTACATGTTGTATCTCTTGATCCTCACAACAACCCTGGAGGTAGGTGCTATTAATAAATATCTCCTGAGGAAATTGAGGCTAAGTGACTTGCCCAGCCAGAGTCTCATATTGGAGGCCAGATA